CGCGTTGGGCTTTGTGCTGACAGCTAGCTCAGAGCCTGGAGCCTGTTTTGGATTCTGTGTCTCCCTCTCTCTCTGACCCTCCCCTGCTCATGCTGTCTGTCTCTCAAAAATAAATAAAAAACATTAAAAAAAAAAACACAAAGTCGCTTATCTTTTAGAGTGTCTAATTCCTATCAAACTTTTCCAGTTAACTTTTCATTTCAGATACTATATTTTTCAGTTCTAGAACTTCCCCATTTTTTCTCATTTTATAGTTTCCATTCCTCTATTGAGATTTTCTATTTGTTATCTATTATGTTTTTGTTTTCCTTTAAATATTTAAATACATAATAGCTGCTTTTAAGTCCTTACCTCTCTTTTCATCATCTCTTTCATTTCTGAGTTTACAATTTTTTCTCCTGGTTAAGAGTCACATTTTCCAATTCTCATATCTTTTAATTTTCTATCTTTGCTGGACACTACAGACACTACTCTGAGTGATTTTTATTCTCTTTCATAATGGAGTATTGAGTATTACTAAAATAGTTAATTTATTTGCATCTCAGTGTGATACTTTCAAGGTTTGTTTTTAAGTTTTGTTTTTAGACAGAGCTAGAGTACCCCTTACTCTAGGACATCACTGTTCAATATGAAATCCACTAACCACATATGACTATTAAATAATTGAAATGTGACTAGTCAAAATTGAAGTTTGCTGTAAGTGTAAAATGAACACTGAATTTCAAAGACTTAGTATGAAAAAGATTGTAAACTATCTCATTAATAATCTCCTATGTTGGTTACATGTCGAAATGACCATTTTTTGGATATATTTGGTAAAATATTTTATTTACATTAATTTTGTCTGTTTTTTTTTACTTTTTTTCCCAAGAGGTTACTAGAAAAAGTTTAAATAATGTTTATGTCATTATGTTTCTCATGAAGAGTGCTATTGTAGTGCTAGTGTAGTTCCATTCATAAAACCTAGCCTTTCTGGGATATCTACTAAATTTCTCAAATAGTAAATTCGAACGCTCCACTGTGGTTGGTTGGAACACCAACATCTTTCATTCCTGTTCAACCTCTGATCATTGCTCAGCCCATAGCTTCTCCATGGTTGTTATCTTCCTAATAGTTGCCCTTTACCTACTCTTCTGGAATCTTTTCCTGTGCAGACTACTCTGTGCAGCTTCCGTCTCACTGAAGGCTAATCTCCATCTCCTCAGCTCAAATACACCATCATGCTTTATTTGGCCTTTCCCAGTGGAAAGTGCCCCCAGACAAAAAGCCATTGTAATCCTGAAGCTTGTTCATTTGTTGCTCTTTGGTAAGAATAACAGTTCTATGTTTCCTACTGATCGATATCTCCAAACATTTATTTTGCCTAGTTCGATGGTTGTTTTTGGCAGAAAGTCTTGTATCCAGTATCAGTTACTATATCATGATTAAAAGTAGAATTCTTTATTATGATCTTTCACTTTCATTTTGGACATTTTCCTTAAAAGTCTGATGGGTGTTGCTTGCTTGTTGATAATTTACAATTATGCAGTGAGAGAACTGTGACTTCTATATCTGTGGGCAGGGCTTTGTCAACTAGAAAGTTTTGCTTTAATGTGAATGAATAAAAAACCAACCGTAGCCACTGGATGCCTTTAATGGACACTGTTGGAAGTCTACCCAGAATTCATTTTAGTTTTTCCCTTGGTAACATAACCCTGCTTTCGTTTAGTTGTCCAATTTTCTTTGCCTAACCATGTTCCTGACCAGATGAATGTGTCCTCAAGGGTACATCCTGATTGGGCTAAGCTAATACACAACAATTCCAATCCTTCCCTGTGACTTGTTTAGGAAAGACTTGTGTTACAATTTTGGCCAATGAGACACGAAGAAAAACCATTGAATGGTAGAAGATATTTGCAAATGATATATTCAATAAAGGGTTAATATCCAAAATATATAAGTAACTTAACTCAACGTCAGAAAAAAAACAAACAATCAGATTAAGAAATGGGCAGAGGATTTGAATAGACATTTTCCTAAAGCAGATATACAGATGGCCAACAGGCACATGAAAAGATGCTTAACATCACTAATATCAAGAAAATGCAAATCAAAACCACAACTAAATATTACCTTACACCTATCAGAATGGCTCAAAACAAAACAAGAAATAACAAGTGTTGGCAAGGATGTGGAGAAAAAGGAACTCTCCTGCACTGTTGGTGGGAATGTAAACTGATACAACCACTGTGGAAAACAGTAAGGAAGTTCCTCAAAAAATTAAAAATAGAAATACCATATGATCCAATAATTCCACTACTCAGTATTTACCCAAAAAAATGAAAATACCAATTCAAAAAGATGTATGCACCCTTATGTTTATTGCAGTAGTATTTAAAATAGCCAAGATATGTAGCACAAAAACAGACATTCAGATCAATGGAACAGAATAGAGAACAGAATAGAGAACCCAGAATTGGACCCACAAACATATGGCCAACTAATCTTTGACAAAGCAGGAAAGAGTATCTAATGGGATAAAGACACTCTCTTCAGCAAGTGGTTCTGGGAAAACTGGACAATGGCATGCAGAAAAATGAACCTGGACCACTTTCTTACACCATACACAAAAATATACTCAAAATGGATGAAAGATCTATAAGACAGGAAGCCATAAATATTCTAGAGGGGAAAGCAGGTAAAAACCTCTTTGACCTCAGCCACAGCAACTTCTTATTCAACATGTCTCCAGAGGCAAGGGAAACAAAAGCAAAAATGAACTATTGGGACCTCATCAAAATAAAAACTTCTGCACAGTGAAGGAAACAATCAGCAAAACAGAATGGGAAGGAATGGGAGAAGATATTTGCAAATGACATATCAGATAAAGAGTCAGTATCCAAAATCTATAAAGAACTTATCAAACTCCACATCCAAAAAAACCCCAAATAATCCAGTGAAGAAATGGACAAAAGACATGAATAGACACTTTCCAAAGAAGACATCCAGATGGCTAACAGACACATGAAAAAATTCTCAACATCACTCATCATCAGGGAAATACAAATCAAATCCACAATGAGATACCACCTCACACCAGTTAGAATGGCTAACATTAACAACTCAGGCAACAACAGATGTTGGCGAGGATGTGGAGAAAAGAGGACCTCTTTTGCACTGCAGGTGAGAATGCAAACTGATGTACCCACTCAGGAAAACAGGTCAAAGTTTCCTCTACGACCCAGCAATTGCACTACTAGGTGTTTATACAAGGGATATGGGTGTGCTATTTCGAAGGGGCACATGGACCTCAATGTTTATAGCAGTGCTATCAACGATAGCCAAAGTATGAAAAGAGTCCAAATGCCCATCAACAGAAGAATAGATAAAGAAGATGTGGTATATACATGCAATGGAGTATTACTTGGCAATCAAAAAGAATGAAATCTTGCCATTTGCAACTATGTGGATGGAACTAGAGTGTATTATGCTAAGCGAAATTAATCAGAGATAGACAAATATATGATTTAACTCATATGAAGAATTTAAGATACAAAACGGATGAACATAAGGGAAGGGAAGCAAAAATAATATAAAAACAGGGAGGGGGACAAAACATAAGAGACTCTTAAATATAGAGAACAAACAGAGAGTTGCTGGAAGGGTTGTGGGAGGGGAGATGGGCTAAATGGGTAAGGGGCATTAAGGAATCTACTCCTGAAATCATTGTTCCACTATATGCTAACTGACTTGGAGGTAAGTTTAAAAATTAATTAATTAATTTAAAAAAATAAAGTGATGTTAAAAAAATAATAAAATAGCCAAGATATGGAAGCAACCTAAATGTTTATTGATAGATATGTATACACACACACACGCAGTGAAATGTTATGCAGCCACAAAAAGGATGAGATCTTGCCATTTGCAACAACATGGATGGACCTGGAGGATATAATGCTAAGCAAAGTAAGTTGACTGAGAAAGGGAAATAACATATGATTTCATTCATATATAGACTCTAAAAAACAAAGCAAATAAATCAACAAACAAAGAGAACAAACTGAAGGTTGCCAGGGGAAAGGTGGGTGGAAGGAATGGCCAAAGTGGGTGAAGAGGAGTGGGAGATACAGTTTTCCAGTTATGGAATGAATCAGTCATGGGAATGAAAGGTATAGAGGCACATGGCTGGCTTGATCACTGGGACATGCAACTCTTGATCTTGAGGTTGTAAGTTTAAGCCCCAATCAGTGTAAATACTACTTAAAAATAAAATCTTTAAAAATTTTTAAAAAATAAAAGGTACAGCATAGGGAATACATATCGTCAATGATATTGTAACAGCATTATATGATGACAGATGGTAGCTACACTTGTAAGCACAGCATAATGTATAAAGATGTTGAACCACTATGTTGTAACCTAGAACTAATGTAACATTGTCAGCTATACTAAAAGAAAAAAAAAACTTTTAAGTGTATTTATTTATTTACAGAGAGATGCCCAAGCAGGCTCTGTCCATGTCAGTGCAGAGCCCAATGCATGGCTTGAACCACGATCATGACCTGAGCTGAAACCAAGAGTTGGACGTTTAACTGACTGAGCCATACAGATGCCTTTCAAAAAATATTTTAATATAAATATATGGTAAATAAATAAAAATTATAAAAAGGAAAAACCACTGGGGCACCTGGGTGGCTCAGTTGGTTAAGCACTGACTTCGGCTCAGGTCATGATCTTGTGGTTTGTGGGTTCCAGCCCTGCGTTGAACTCTGTCTTGACAGCTCAGAGCCTGGAGCCTGCTTCAGATTCTCTGTCTCCCTCTCTCTCTGCCCCTCCCTGGCTTGTGCTCTGTGTCTTGTCTTTCAAAAATAAATAAACGTTACAAAAAATTTTTTTTAAATTTTTTAAAAAAGAAAAACCATTGAGAACAACTGGAAAAGGTGTCCTAAGTTAAAACACACACACACACACACACACACACACACACACAAAAGAAAATATAGTCCCTTTTCTTCTTTTAGGTGTTTTCAAATCTGAAAATTATCCTTGGGATTGAAATCTGAAGAACACAGAACAGAAAGATGGGATGATGCTGGACCCTTGGTGATGTTTTTCAGCCACTGAATTGGAACCCATAGGCTACTTGTTCTACCTCCAAACATATGAGACATATTTCTGTGTTGTTAAATTTCTGGTAATTATAAATAAATTCTAACTTATACAAATTTGAGAATGTAGACAACTTGGTATTCAACTGGCTCTCTTAATCCAGAAATTCCAAGCTTACATTTCCAGTGACTGAGGATGACCAAAATAAAAGACATGAATGGAATCAGCTGGTCTTGAAGCTCTGAATGGAATCTGACACAAAATTATTTTGGAGTCAGAACCAACAGATCTCTAATATTCCTTGGGTCTGAAAATTGCAGCAGCTGGTGAGACAGAAGGTTGGTACTTTTATTTTTTTTTAATGTTTTATTTATTTCTGAGAGAGAGAGAGAGATTGAGAAAGAGAGAGAGAGAGAGACAGTGTGAGCAAGGGAGGGTCAGAGAGAGAAGGAGACACAGAATCCGAAGCAGGCTCCAGGCTCTGAGCTAGATGTCAGCACAGAGCCCAACACGGGGCTCAAACCCACGAACCGTGAGATCATGACCTGAGCTAAAGTCAGATGCTTAACCGAGTGAGCCACCCAGGCACCCCAGAAGGTTGGTACTTTTAAAGGCACTCATATATTTTTGAGGATTTGATCGTTGGAATTTGACGTCTTTATGTTGTTATGGGTGGAAACTGGAACTGGCTGAGGCTTCTGGGTACTCCTTTTCAAAAAATGGTAATTTACATGTCATAAATTCATCATTTTAAGGGTACAATTCTGTGGATTTTAATATATTACAACAGCTATTTAATTATAGAATACTTTTCATCCACCAATTAATAGACATTTATGTTGTTGCTATTTTTTAGCTATTATGAATAATGCTACTATGAACATTCCTGTACAAGTTTTGGTGTGGACATTCATGTTTTCGTTTCTCTTGGATATATATCTAGAAGCACAATTGCTGAGTCATGTGGGATAGGTCTGTGTTTTAACATTTTGATGAACTACCAGACTGTTTTCAAAAACAAGTGCACCATTGTACAATCCTGCCAGTTGTGTTCTGAGGTTTCTAATTTCTCCATATCCTTGTCAACACTTATAGTCTCTTTAAAAATTATAACCATCCCTATGATGGTATTCATTGTGGTTTTGGTTGTAAATTAGCTAATTGCTAATGATGTTGACCATCTTTTCATGTGTTACTGGCTATTTGCATATATTCTTTGGAGAAATGTCTATCCAAATTTTTTGCCCATTTTTAAATTGAGCCATTCATCTTTTGTCTTTTTATTGTTGAACTTAAGAGTTCTTTATATATTCTAGATACTAGACCCTTATTACATAGGGTATGATTTCCAAATATTTTTCCCATTCTGTGATTCATTTTGAATTGATATTTTTAAGTTTATTTATTTTGAGAGAGAGAGAGAGCATAGGTATGCACAGGAGGGACAGACGGAGGGGGAGAGAGAGAATCCCAAGCAGGCTCCGCACCATTAGAGCAGACCCAGTGTGGGGTGAGATCATGAACTGAGCTGAAATCAGGAGTGAGATACTTAACTGACTGAACCACCCAGGCACCTCTTGAATTGATTTTTTATATGGTGTGATGTAGGAGTCCAATTTCACTCTTTGGTTTGTAGATATCCAGTTGTCTCATTACCATGTGTTGAAAAGACTATTCTTTCTTTTTTTGTTTGTTTGTTTTTTAATGTTTTATTTATTTCTGAGAGAAAGAGAGACAGCATGAGCAGGGGAGGGTCAGAGAGAGAGGGAGATACAAAATCTGAAATAGGCTCCAGGCTCTGAGCTGGTTGTCAGCACAGAGCCCAATGTGGGGCTCGAACCCACGAACCATGAGATGATGACCTGAGCCGAAGTCAGATGCTTAAACAACTGAGCCACCCAAACGCTCCTATTCTTTCTTTCATTGAATTATTGTGGCACCCTTGACAAAAATTAATTTATTATAAATATGTTGTCTTATTTCTAGACTCAGTTCTAATTCATTGATCAACTGCAGTTGACGTGTGTGTGTGTGTGTGTGTGTGTGTGTGTGTGTGTGTGTGTTTGAGAGAGAGAGACAGAGTGTGAGCCGGGAAGGGGCAGAGAGAGATGAAGATACAGAATCTGAAGCAGGCTCCAGGCTCTGAGCTGTTGGCACAGAGCCTGCCATAGGGCTTGAACTCAAGGACTGTGAGATTATGACCTGAGCTGAAGTCGGACACTTAACTGACTGAGCCACCCAGGCGCCCCTGCAGTTGACCTTTGAACAACACGGTGCTCACCCTCGACACAGTTGAAAATCCACATACAACTTTTTACTCCTCAAAGCTTAACTAATAGCCTACTATTGACCTGAAGCCTTACCAATAACATAAACAATTGATTAATACTTATTTTGTAGGTTATATGTATTATATATTGTATTCTTACAATAAAGTAAGCTGAAGAAAAAGAAAATGTTATTAGGAAAATCATAAGGAGAAAATACATTTATAAGGGCACCTGGGGAGTTCAGTTGGTTAATCATCTGACTCTTGGTTTTGGCTCAGGTCATGATCTCACTGTTCATGAGTTTGAGCCCTCACATTGGGCTCTGCACTGGCAGCACAGGGCCTCCTTGGGATTCTATCTCCCTCTCTCTCTACCCCTCCACCACTCACTCGCTCTCCCTCAAAAATAAATAAATAAACATTAAGAAAAAGAAGAAAGTACATTTATAGTACCATAAAAACTCTGCATGTAAGTGGACCCATACAGTTTAAACCCATGCTGTTCAAGGGTCAACTGAAGCATGCTTGACCACAATTTGTGTTTTTATAATGCAACTAGCTAATAATTATTAAATGAGAGAGTGATCTCAGCATAGCACGGAAGTTGTCATCCTTAATTTTTCATACTTAATTTTTTTAGTGAAAAGAGGCTACAGCAGAGATAACAGAATTATAATCTTTATTAGAATGGGAAAAAGCCTTCAGCTCAGCTGCTGCACAGGCAAGAAATCTTTCAAATCTTAAAAAAAAAAAAAAAACATAAAAAATGAGCACTGGTACCCAGGATACCTCCCCAGAAAGGCACTCTCTCATACTCTAGAAGGTTTCACTTCTTGCTGTGTGCTCCTTAAAGCAACCCTACCAGCAAGGTGCTCTACTTCATCTACACTATTTCAGTATCCATAAGTTTGAATTTCTACTCTTAACGTTTTTAAAAAATATCTCCTGAAGCAGTTCTGGCTATAAGTGTCTGCCTGGGTCGTTTACGTTTCTCCTGAGGTGCCAATTATTAGCATGTGTTTTTTTGTGCTCTGGTTCCAATGCAGCATAAATTTTAAGTGGTGCACCCTAATCCTGTTTTTCCCATAAGTTCTATTATTTTTAGTGCACAATATTGCAAGACATAAGGTTTTTCATGAATGTATATAACATGTTACAACGTAAATGCCTGTCCTTTTACGTTTTAACCAAGGATTTTTGAGATACTGGATTCACTCAAAGTAGAATCTTCAGCTACAGTGGCAGGACAATGAGATAGAGAGATACAGATAAATAGGAGTTTTGCTGTCCTTCACATCTTCATTTTACACTTGATCTTAGCCAAAAGTCCGAGAAGCGATCAAATTCTTCATTTTAAAGACATTCTCCTACTTCTCTTTAAGGATGGACTAATCCAGTCTGGGCCTCTGAAATTTTTCTTTATTAATAATAGTAATAGCTAATGATCCCTCAGTCCATCACATTTCCCAGTCCACTGATGCTGCTGCTGCTACTGAGTCCTTTACTGTGTGCTCATTCATCCTTCTACTGCAAATCCATTAGGCCAGTTAGCTTTGGTTTAGTCAGCCTCAGACTCCTCCCACCCCATCCAGTCACAAGTGGGGTTTTCACAACCTACTTGGTAAAATGTGTCCTCTTAGTGAGTGCTTCCCAAACTTAGGCATTTTTCATAATCACCTGGAGGGCTTGTTCAACCACAAGTTCTTAGATGCCACCTCTGGAGATTCTGATATATTAATATATTAGGATTGAGTGAATATTGACATTTCTAACAAGGCCCCAGGTGATCCTGAGGGCCTTCATCCAGAGACCACATTTTGAGTGGCATTGCTGTAAATGGCCCTGTCATCAGCAGTGTCACTTTTCTTCACCACTTCCTTCCCCGTCAAACCTTTTTCTTTGGCCATTGCATTGGTACAGTCATTTTCAACCAGGGGCAGTTTTGATCCTCAAGAGATATTTGGCAATGTCAGGGAAGATTTTCTGTTGCCATAACTGGGTAAGAGGGTATGCTACTGGTGTCTCATAGGTAGAGGCCAGAGATGCTGCTAAACATCTTACAATGCACAAGGTAGCTTCTTACCACAAAGAATTATCTGGCCCAAAATGTCAGTAGTGCCCACTTATACTTGGCAGGGACTTGCTATTGCTTTGTTTGCCCACAGCACGCAATCCTGATTGCATCTATGTCAAGTCGATAGCCTATGAAGCAAAGATAGAGATAAAGGAACAGTTGCATTCCCCACCTCAAATTTTTTTACATTTCATTGAAAATACAACATCTAAACTTTTAAACTGTAAAGTCCTTAGAAAAATCACCTACATACATGATAACTTCTCTTCAGAATTCTAATTTCTCCTTCTTGGAGCACCTGGGTGGCTCAGTTGGTTAATTTCTCCTTCTTGGATCTCATGGCAGAATGGAAAACTTTACTGAAGCCAAATCTTTGGATATTGGTCCCATCTATTTCTTTGATCAGGTAATAATATAGTTCAATCTCATTAAATTATAGTTTGCTTTTCTAAAAATAATTAGCTTTGGACCAGTATTTTTCTCTGCTTTTTAATCAGAAATTTTTCTTTCATTTTAGATGAAACCCAAAAGGAAAAAATAGGAAAAGAGAGAACGTGTAGGCCATTTCCCCCATTTGAGATACACCTCGGAAGCTATTTACAGGTAAGATATTTGGAATTACTCTTCAATTGCTGGGACCACTTTACATTTTCAAAGAGTTATTGGTGCTCAGGACCAGTGCTTCCTATTCCCCATCCCCTAAGAAACTATATCAAGGAAATTCCCATTTCAAAGC